AATCTGGAAATGCAGGTTTGGGTATCACAGAATGAAAGCAAAAAGGGACACGAGATATGCATTTTCATTATTCCTGCTTGGGGAAGAGTGGTCAGAATATTTCATTTTCTTAAACCAAAGGCAGCAGTTCTAGTACTTTCTAGATGCCCATCCAACCTGAGGTACTGAACTTCAGTCCCTTACCAGGAAGATAAACTGTTCACTGAGCCCCAAGGACAAAGCAGCAAGGGCTGAGGGAGGTGCTCTATCATTTGGTCACTACTGCTGCCTTCCTGTCCCCAACCCTAAGCCCAACCTGTAACACACATACTTTCTCTCTCTTTCACAAGGCCATCACCATTTTCAAAACCAATGTAAGATCTTCATAAGGGCTGTGGGAATTTCTTATCCCATGAGTTATCTAAGCAATATAATGGGCAAAGTCTTTTAGTTCATTTACAATCTGATTATTGGATAAATTCATGCTTTCTCATCAGCTTTAATAACTTTATTATATGGACTACTTAGCATTCATGAAATAACAGTGACACACGAACTGGTGGTATGATTATTTCATTCATTCACAAACTTTTATTGAGCACCTACTATAAAGGCAGACATTTCACTAAGGTCTGGCGATATGATGATAGAAGACATAGTCCCAAGATGCCAGATAGAAATTGTGAGATAATAGGAAAAAATATATGTTGGTCTCTGTCCCCTGCTCCTGACACAGGGCTCCTGAAACACTTGTAATTTTCTGGGTGATAGCGTTTACTTTTGTTTGAATTAGGTGACTCTGGGTGGGCTCCTAGATGGGTGCTGGTCACCAGACCGACTGAGCCATGATTAGAAACTTGGAATTTTCAGCCTTATCCATCAGGAAAACCTCAGAAAAAACTGAGGTTTTTCCTTAGACAGATATGCACATATAATGTAATGTGTGCTATAATGACACAAAGTATATGGGGCAAGAAAAATAAAAGCAGCAAAAAGAAATTTGGCTGGGGAATCAAGAAAGGTGTCACAGAATCCATAACACGAGCTGAGATCTAAAGAATGAAGATGAGCTAAGCAGGAGACCCAGGAGGAGGGTATTCCAAACTTAGAGACAGGGAAACTTGCAAAAGTATGCATGTTTGAGGAAACAAATAACTTGCTATTTCTATATCATCTGACATGAGGTGGTTTAGCTGGGTGTGAAAGAGAAATTGTTCCATGAGGCAAGTGCTGCCGGACCTGTGAGCTGGACCGGAGCCTGAAGGGAGACTGCTTCCCGCAAACCACCCTTCAAGACTGTCTAATTATAATTATTGTTTGTTCTGACATCAACCATCGCACTTTCCCTGCCCCCCACTGTATACTGGCTCCTGGGACAGGCTGTTATCCTGACCTGGTCAAGCCTGTAAAGTAATTTAATCAGGTGTAGATAGTACCTGTGACTATCTCCCTCCTCCTTTACCCTATATAATTCTTGGGCTCCTGACAAGCAGCAGGGGATCCACTTCATCTTGTAACCACCTAAGATGCACTTCATGTGTAAGTTTCCATCAATAAACTCTATAAATTACCAGACTGGAGTTCTCAATCCTCCTTCTTCTGTCTTTCCTTGCTTTCCACTTATGGAGGTAGATTTTCAATTCTGGAACTTTCATTGGGTCTATTGTATTAACAACTGGACATCTATGAAGGGCCTTATATATGATGCCAATGAACTTTCACTTTAGGCTACAGAGGGTCTCTGAAGAATTCTTAGCTATGTGGGCACATAAACAGAGTTATGTATTGGAAGACTGCTCTGCAGGATTGCAGACAAATGGGATGAGAACAAAACAGAAGTACCAATGCTGTAGTACTTCTAATGAAAGACACCACATGATGAACCAGAGCAGTGGCAGTGCGGCTGGAGGGCATGGAAGGAAGAGTTGCTTAAGAAGAACGCAGGACAGGACCAGAGGATTGTTGGATGGGTAGGTAAGGAAGGAGGAATCTAGCATAACTCTCAGATTACGGACTTGGACCACTGGATGAATGGCTGACACTAAGCAAGACTGGGGAAACAGGAAGGCAAATTTGAATTTGGAGGAAAAAGTGAATTTCATTTTTGATATGGTAAGGGTGCAGTTCCATGGAAGGCTCAGGTCTGGGCACCAATGTTATTGTGGGGGTCATCAGCAAATACATGTAGCTGAAGTCAGGAGTTTGGGAAGTTTGCCAGGGAGAGCATGGGACTCCCAGCAATGCCAATACAATGGGTGAATGGAGAAAAAGACAAAGAGAAGCCAGAAATGCCAGAAAAGAATTAGGAGAGTCATTAATAACAAACAAGAGTTTTAAAGAAGGAGCTGATACAATAGTCAAAACACTATGGTATGGCAAAAAAAAAAAAAATAGACACGCAGACCAATGGAACAAAATTCAGAGTCTGGAAATGTATATGGGCAACTAATTTTAGACAAAGGAGCTAAAAACATACAATGGAGAAAGGAAAGCCTCCGCCATGAATGGTGTTGGGAAAATTGAAAAGCTACACGCAAAAGAATGAAACTAGCTTGATATCTGACACCATGTGTAAAAATTAACTCAAAATGATTTAAAAACTTAAATATTAGACCTGAAACAATAAAATACACACAAGAAAACATAGGTACTAAACTTATGGACCTTGGTCTCAGAAAGGTTTTTGTGAACTTGACCTCAAAAACAAAAGAAGTAAAAGCAAAAATAAATGAATGAGACTACATCAAGCTAAAAAGCTTCTGCACAGAAAAAAAAAAATCAACAAAAGAAAAAGGCAACGAACTGAATGGAGGAAGATATTTGCAAACGATACCTCCAAAATACATAAAGAACTCACACTACAACAAAAAACTAACAGTCCAATTTAAAAATGAGCAGAGGACCTGAACAGACACTTTTCCCAAGAAGACATACAAACAGCCAACAGACATATGAAAAGATAGTCAACTTCACTAGCTATTAGGGAAATGCAAATCAAAACCACAAGGAGTTGCCACCTTACACCTGTTAATGGCTATTATCAATAAGACAGGAAATAACAAGTGTTGCAGAGGACATAGAGAAAAAAGAACCCTTCATAGAGAAAAAAAAAGAACTGCTGGTGGGAATGTAACTGGTACAGTCATTATGAAGGTTCCTCAAAAAATTAAGACTAGAGCTCCCACATGAGCCAGCAAGCCCTCTTCTGGTATTTACCTGAAAATTTTAAAAACATTTATTCATAAAGATATACGTACTCCTATGTTCATTGCAGTATTAATTACAATAGCCAAGACCTGGAAACAACCTAAGTGTCCCTCTGTGGATGATGGGCTAAAGAAGCTGTGGTATATATATACAATGGAATACTACTCAGCCATATAAGAAAGGATGAATTACTGCCATTTACAACAACATGGATAGATTTTGAGAATATCACGCTAAGCAAAATAAGTCATAAGGAAAAGGACAAGAACCATATGATTTTAATCGCATGTGGGAAATAAAACAGAAAGCAACAAACGAACAAACAAAAGAAACAAACAAACTCATAGACAGAGACAACAGTTATGATTACCAGAGGGGGAGGTTGAAGAGGGTCAAGGGGGTCAAATATATACTGATAGGAGACTAGACTTTCGTGGGTGAAAACACAATGCAATATACAGATTACATATTTATAAAATTGTACACTTGAAATGTAAAAATTTATGTAACGTTGTTAACCAATGTCACCCCAACAAATTTAACTTTTTAAAAAAGGAGCTGAGCAGTTGAGCAGTTTGGGGTGATTAGCCCATGTGGGGCAAGAGTGGGTGTCCATGGTTGATGGGCAGTGAGGATCCTTAGAATTAATAAGTGTAGGATATCTGAGGACACTAAAGGCTGCAGAGGTGCTGAGGGATGATAGCCAAGTGATGAATGGGGAAGAATCTAAGTCAGATGCTAAACTCCTGCACACAAGAGCCTACAATTAACCAGGCTGTGGAGAAATAGGGGCGGAAAGGAGGGTAGAGGCTTGTGTTACTGGGTGGCTTCGGAGGGTCCCCACCCCACCCAAGTCTCCCCAGCCAGAGCTGGAGGGATCAGAACATGCGACCTCGGCTGGGAAGGCTGCTGGGAACCGAGGCGGGGGTAAGGCGGAGGGGAGATGGAGCAGCGGTTCCAGAACACCAGATCAAGCGACAGGGGGAGTCAGAGGGCAGCGCACGGGGATGAGTCACGGAGCGCAGGGCATGGGGTTCCCCGAAAGGAGAGGAGACAGACCAGGGCTTGCGTCGGCGATGGGAGGTGAACAGGATTGAAAGATAACGAGGCTCGGAGTCCCTGAAAGCCGGGCCCGGCCACCAACGGGCTAGCCAGTGCGGCGTAGCGGTGGAACCCAAGGCCCACCCAAGCATCGCTCCCGCCTGGGTGCCGGGAGAGGGGCGGGGGGAATGAGGGAAGGTGCGGGA